TGGCTGATGTCGCAGCCCCTTGAATTTGAAATCGATATTTTAATTTTGGAGATACTTTACATAAAGCCCCTGAGACATTTTCCAAATTTTCAAAAACAATGGCTCCATCGTTTTTAATTATTTTTTTGTTAATGAATAATGTGAAGAACCTCTAAAAAATGGTGCAGGTATCATATTAGTAGAATACCCTGATTTTTTTTAAATTGCTTAAGTTCAAGATTACTTCGGCATCTTCGTGCAATTACAATTATGAAAATAGAGATTTTTCCCTCAAATAAATCTGTTCCTTACAATAGTTTTTGAAATAAGGTCACGTACAATGCTTCGAAAATTTGAGTACTTTGCGTAATTGTGAGTAATTTTCGCGTAAAAATACGGGCGAGAAAGTACGTGCTGTTTTAGCACCACTAGTTTTTTTCTTTATTTTCCTTCGAATGAGCCACTATGGACTACATTTATTTCCATTTTCTGTCTCTTTCTTCCTTTCTTTACTTCCATGTCTTTCATTCGGGCCCGATGTTTCTCTTTACTCTGCTCGGTCCAAATGGCCCCTTTCTTCTTTTTGAGACTGTTATTATAACCCTGATTGGGTCAGAAAAGATTTCCGCGTACGATTCTACATTTATTGAAGGGCTGTGTAAGTTAGAATGTTTTTAGATTGTTTTTAACTTTCTAGCCTTACTACTTACTTAAGTAAAGATAAGAAATTGAAATACTAGTGCGGAAATCAGCAATTTTTCGACAGAAAAAATCGTATTGTTAGGCCCTAACGATAAAAAGGGGATAACTCTTGTTCACACATGTAGTAAATTACATTCTCTAACACTTTGTGTAGTCAGAAGCCACGTTATGTAGGTCCTTAAGTTTTCAAGAATCTTCGTAAGAAATAATTTGAAGCACTTTAACTCATTAGCTCAATAATGCGTGAAAATGCCCATAATTCAAATATTGACGATAATATGAGATACATTTCAAAGAAATTAAATATGTGTGGTTCTTGAGAAATCAAAACAAATCAGTGCATAAAATCGTACAAAATGTTTATGGAAAACATTTGGAGCAGTTTTTGAGAAAATCTTGTTTTTTATTTTGCCCGTAATATACATTACATTGTGCCAAAATTACGAGTTTTTAAAAAAACGTTCATGACATTTATTAAAGAACTAAATGTGGAGAATCAATTTCATTGAAGAAAAATCTCATCTTTAATATTGTAGTTGAAGGAAGATGTCGAAAAAATATCAAACTTTTGTAATTTTGTAATTTAAAATTCAGAGATTTCAATGAAAATGAAATTTGCGCCATTCAAGTTAAACAAGAATATTTGGTGCCGTTTTTGACACAATTTTCAAATGCAAAAGACCAAGATGATAATACCTAAATGACTTGGAATATCATGGGAGAATTTAAAAAATGGAGTCTAGATATCAAAATGGATAAAATTGAATATATGGTTCTAGGATGTGTGGAACAAGATCTAAATATTGATGGGAATATAATAAAGAATACCACTAAACCAAATATCTTGGAATAATATTAACACAAGAAAACAGAGTTGATTGTGATATTATACAAAAACCTTTATCTCCGTTTCTTTACTTCAAGGTTTTGGCTCCATAATACACTATTGAATTTAAAAACTATAGTTCGACCTTTTATTATATTTTGTTATTATCCTGTTCATATACGTTGTCAATTACTCTCTCTAAAAAGTGGGGTACCCAGAAGCCATGTTTTGTGGTACCTTGATACCGAAAAATCGATTGACGGCAAAACGTCTGTCTGTCTGTGTTCAAAGTTAGCACCCAAACCGTTCAGCCGATTTTCTCCAAAATTGATATTCCCCGATCAATCTAAACAAACACTGGGCTTTGGGAGTTTCAAACGGGTATTTTGCTTTTTGAGAGGTCTTTGCATTAAGTCTCAAAACCATTTTGAAATTTTCTCAAAAATTAAACTTTACCCTCGGATTGCTTAAAAACGTTAAACAGAATGGTTCAGGCTTCGGGTTTCAAAATCTCTGATTTCCAGAAAATTGCAAAAGAGCAATTTTTGGAGGACTACTTCCCACAACTTATTGATAGATTTTTTCTTAATGAAATATGTTCTCTAAAGACAGTCCTTGAAATAACGTCATGTTCAATTTTTCTCAAATATGAGTAATTTTCGTGTAATGTTTCGTGAAATATAAACAGTTTTAAAACCGTTTAATCATTTTTTTTTCAAAAAACGCTCCATTTTTTTAAATTTTCTCCTCTTATGTATCAAGGTGCTAGTATTTCTAAATTTTCTGTAAAGTCCCCGTTTTTTCGAAAATTGCAGATAGGTAACAATTCAAACTGCAAGAAATTGAAGATAGAGATTTTTGCCTTAGACAATGTTTGTTTCAAAACATTAGCTCCTAAAAAGTAAATGTGTGTGTTTTTTAAGCGAGTGTTTTTTACGCAATTTCCCCCAAAACCGTTCCAATTTTTTTTCTTCACGAATAGAAGGGACGCATAAAAGTATGGAGCGGGACTCATTTTCGTTCAGCTCTCAAAATTTTCAAAAATTTCAAATTTATAAACAACGCGAGAAACGATGTGCTGTTTTAGCCCAACTAGTTATGATTTAAACTTTGTCAAGAGTAAAAACCATAATTGAGACGCATAGAAAGAAATTGTGTTCCAGGCGTACTCAAATTAAAAGTTATCAAGCAGTGACCATCACATTCTTTACAGGTGACGATTCTTGGTTTTTCCCCATCAATTCACACTTCGTCATAATTACTTCTCGTTAGATAGTCAACATTAAAACAAAACCATCAAAATCAATGTCAATGTTAATGTGCACTTTGTCGTAATCACTTCTATTTAGATAGTCAACATTCATACAAAAACATCAAAATTACATTTGATGGGTTTTTGTAATGAATTATATTCCTCTGAACTAGTTGGTTGTCCGCAGGCGAAATTAGGTGTTTTGGTGTACAAAGCGAAATTAGGTGTTTTGGTAACAATAAATCGTCTACTCGTATCTGCCTAAAAAATCACGAATTGAGCACAAAAGTAAATTGGCTCAAAATCTTTTGTATATTATTCCAAACTGACGTAGATAGCTAGCATATACTCTCTCGCATTATTTTTAAATTTGCTGTTTTCCAAAATTCGGAGTTCAACGAAAATTATACCTACGCCATTCTTTTAAGTGCCCCTTTTTCTATCCGTGGAAACAATTGGGACGATGTTTTAGAAAATATTTGTTTACAAATTGCATTAATTTCAAGGACCAAATTACGCGAAAATTATGTTTTTCAAAAAACTGCATATGACTTTTTTAAAGAGCTGATTTTTAGGAATGAACTTCGTATAAGGCAAAACCTCTATCTTCAATCTGGTAATTTTGAAATTCCAATTTTCGGAAATACAGAGAGTTCGGCGAAAATGGAACTAAAACAATATTTTTAACCGTTTTTTGATACATGCAAAGAGGAAATTTAAAGAAAAAATGGTGGCTTTTTAAAGAAAAAATTGTTTTAAAAAAATTAAAAATTGCCTAATTTCGCGCAAAATTACGGGAATAGTACTCATATTTTCAAAAAATTGGACATGGCTTTATTCCAAGATCTACCTTTAAAGAACAGGTTTCATTTAAGACAAAAATCTCTATCTTCAATTGTATAGTTGTAGGAAGACGCCCAAAAAACATGCACTTTTTAAATTTTCAAACTATTAGAGATTTTAACCAACATGAGTTCTGCACCTCTCTCATAAGCGTCTTTTACGTCATTCGAGTACAAAGTTTAATAAACAATTTGGGGCCATTTAGAAAATAATTCTGAGGCTTTATTTAAAAACCACTCAAAAATAAAAATAAAAATACGATTGAAACTCTCAAATCCTAGGAATATTAATTTTGTTATTAAGATTTTTATAACATTCATAGGTCCATACCCAAAATTCGCCGTTTTCTGGCGCATAATTTCATAATTTTCTCTACTGACAAGTAATTTTCTCTACTGACAAGTACAATAAGAAAAACTTATTGTAGAACAGTTTCTGTGGTACTTTATTAATAGTTTAGTGATAGTAAAAATTAAATTTTAAAAAGGAAATTTTAGTTTAAAGCAAATTTAAAATAGAAAGATAAACGCAAGGTCAAGCGTATCTGAAAATTACGGTTCAAAGAACACTCATTAATTAATTTTGACGTTGTATAAGAGGAAAAAATTTAAATATATGATACGTTACTTGACTGTGAATGTGGTCTTCTGAATTCGGCCTTTGAAAGCAATAAAACGTGGGTTAACTTTAATTTAATAACACTTTTAAAAGAAATTAATGAACTCCATTTTTTAAGCAAGTGGAAGACAATTTAGAACTTGCGCGCCTATGATTCATTTGCCTTATTTTAACTGCAGGTAGAATTTCATGCAATAAGTTACTCGTAAAATGTAATATTGCTTTGAGTTATATTGACAATGCAAATTTTTGAAACCAAGATTTTGTATATAACATTACATCTGACGTGACTCACGAAATGGAACTAATGAGAACAGGACTTGTGATAGTGAGTCATATTTTGATTATGATCATTCTTTTGGGCGTCCCTTCTTCTATCCGTGAACACGATTTATTTATCGTACGTTTGGAACTTTATTACGTTTAAATAATATTTGGAGTCTACAAATTTGTATGTTTGTTTATGTATTCATATAATGCATATTTACGTTTTCATTAAATTATTATTATTAACTTATTACAATAATAATAAACAATTATAACAACTTGGGTTATTATTATTATTATTATTATTATTATTATTATTATTATTATTATTATTATTATTATTATTATTATTATTAAAGAAATATAAAACCTGTGTTTATAACGTGAAATTTTATTTTTAATAATAGAGGTTTTTGCCGAAATAATTACGATTCACGATAAATTCATATATTCTGTTCATTCTTAGCACGCCGCATTTTATGAAATCAGTTGTACACTGACTAAAAATCGATCGCGTGGGTCCTCTCAGCATGTTGTGCAGTATCTAATTGCTGAGTGTTTAAATGAAAAAGACTGGTAAAATGAAATTCTTGACAGTTTAATTTGTAAATTTCCATTGCAATGGATCCTTTTCACTTCAGAGATTTGAAGGCGAAAAGAGTCAGTGCCCGCTTTCACGGCGTAATCAGTGCGAAATGTTTTCGAAATGAACTGTACTACTGTGGGGGAGGGAAGCCAAGCAGTGTGATGTGGGTCGCACGGGAGGGAAGGGCTAGTCGGGGTGTGATGAAGGCTGCAGGCTGAATTAATTCAGTCTACTTCTTTCATTAGATAACCATACATTATTGTGCAATAATAGAATCGTTAAATGCATTTAATATTCGTGTACAGTGTATTTTGCCATCCTAGTGCACCGGCAGACGAATCGCAAGTGATGATAATCGAGTCACTTTTTTTTCGTTAAAAAAAGATTCATGTCGCAGAAACTATGAAAGTACAGATTTTAATCTAAAGTGTTGTCTTCCAAGCATTCAAGCAAGTGTTTTGTGAAAGCATATCTGCAGAAAGCGAGCCAATTTACTGATCATGGCTTTTGTTAAGTGTTGTTTTGATTCTGAGCTGCCAGACGTCGTAGAATCTGTCATTCAGAAATGCACAGATCCGGGCTGTAAGTTAATTATTAGATTGTGTTGTAATTACAATAATTATATTTTTATTTCACAGCACTTGACAATTTGAATTCACCTACCTATGTTGCGCCATTTTAGTGTTTGTTTATACGAGTGATGTTGGTATTATATTCTTAAAGAGGCAGTTCCGTGTTGGTACACCTGAATTTTACTAACCTAAAACTTGTCATACTTGTCACGTTAGTAAATTGGGTTTAATTATTGCATTTATGGATGGGCGTCAGTTTATTCATCCAATGATAATATTGACTGCTTAAACAAAAATTAGTTCGAAGATGAATTGGGGTAGGTGTATGTTACTAACGCATGTGACTTTTATATTGCATTTCTGAAGTGTCAAACGTCATTATGACAGAGTATAATTTTCGTTTGCCAGGGCACAAATGAGTAATAAGCAGTAACCTCTTCAGTTAAAGTGTGACGCACGTCAAACAGACATCTTCGTTTGCTTTGCATGTGTGTGGATTGTCTCATCGAAAGAAATATGGCATTATGTTCTGATATTTCAGGTTGTTGTGGGTGTTGTTCGGCATTGCGGCCCCGTTACAAGAGATTAGTGGACAATATTTTCCCGGTTACTCCTCAGGTACTCTTTATTTCACTGTGACATGCTTGCAACTTAAAACTTTTGCTTATGCATGATACTCACGTTTTATTTCGCAGGATGGTTTAGTTAAAAGCAATATGGAAAAATTGATATTTTATTCCTTATCGTCACCAGAAAAGCTAGATCGTATAGGAGAGTATTTATTTCAAAGAGCCTGTAGAGACATCAATAGGCGAAGAACAGGGTAAGCCCTGAATGAAATTTCTCTTCACTTGGTAATTTCACAGTGAGAAATTTTTTCTCTTCTAAAATATAATTAATTTTCAGATTTGTGGTGATAGCTATGGAGGCTATGGATCAGCTTCTGAAAGCATGTCATGCTCAGACTCTAAATCTGTTTGTTGAAAGTTTTTTGAAAATGGTTCAGAAGTTGTTAGAATCCACAGAGCCTCAATTACAAATATTGGCTACACAATCGGTAAGTCATAAAGAAGTGAATGTACAAAGAATTTATTGTATAGGACAGGATTGAATTGTTAGCTTCACTAATGTAAATATTTTCTTAGTTTGTGAAGTTTGCTAACATTGAAGAGGATACACCGTCTTATCATCGCAGATATGATTTTTTTGTCTCAAAATTTTCATCAATGTGTCACAGTAATCATTGTGATACTGACCTTCGTGACAAAATAAGATTAGCTGGAATTGAAGGATTGCAGGTGAGTGGGAGTATGCACCAAGCTGATTCATGCATTATTGTGGGGAAGGACGAAAATACAGAAAAAAATGGTAATAAGATTTAATTTAGCACTAAAAATGTGTTCACTTCTAAATTTTATTTCAAATCAAATAATAGCAAAAGTCAAAATAGATGAAAGCCAAACAAAAAAAAATGTTCAATGGAAGGAAAAAGTGTGAAAAATTTGTAATTTGATTTGCAAAACTGAATGTTTGTGGATATAATATGTTCTTGCTATCCATAAAAAAAAAAGTTATGTGGTCTTAAGCTCCAAAGCATGGGAGTATTATCTGAAACTTAAATTTTCAATTTGTTTACAGGGAGTCGTCCGTAAAACTGTATGTGATGATCTTGTAGAAAATATTTGGGCGCCAGTGCATATGGATAAAATTGTTCCTTCACTTCTCTATAATATGCAAAATGCAAGGTATGGTAACAGATGTTTATGTGATTTTTTGTGTGTGTGTGTTTAAATCATAAAATGTGCTGCACTATAAAAATAATGGATTTGGTTAGGTTTCATGAAAATGACGCTGAAACACCTGAACCTCCACAAGAAGAACGTGCTGATCCTCCAACTCTTGCAGAAACATGCATGCGAGAATTAGTTGGACGTGCATCATTTGGCCACATACGTTGTGTATTACGACCTGTCTTGAGGTAAATTTTTATCCTAATAATATAGTTCTAATTCAGATTGTTGAAATAAATAAAATAATGAAAAATGAGAATTATGATTGACATTACTTCAATTTTAAAAAAATAAATTTTTCAGGCATCTAGACAATCATGATTTATGGGTTTCAAATCAGTTTGCGATTAGAACTTTCAAGATAATTATGTTTTCAATTCAGGTAATATCTTTGTGTTATTTTACTTAAAAAATTTTAAATCAAAGTTTGAATATATCATATATCTGTGTGGTATTACAATTTGTAAAGCTTGTAAACATGAATATACTATAATTGTTTTCTCATAATTCCAGGCTCAATACTCATGTGTTGTTGTTGAAATCCTTATGGCGCACTTAGATGAGAATTCCAAATCTAGTCCAAAAATTCGAACAAGTATAGCAGATGTTCTGTCAAAAATTATTGCTATTGCAGCTGGTGAAAGTGTTGGTTAGTATATATATTGTGAACATTAGGCCTAATTTAAATGAGTAATTTAATTTCAGATTTTTCCAATTGGCCAATAGAAAGCAATATTTTAATTGCTTTAAATGTGTATTTGAATTTCTCTCAGCATTGTTGTTTTACAGGTCCATCTGTTTTGGAAATAATAAACTCCCTTTTAAGTCACCTGCGTGTATCGGTTACTCGAGAAGCGCCATCTGATGATCCACAAGCTCAGCGAGATGAAAAATTATACCAAGAAGGTTTGATTAATGCATTGGGTGAATTTGCCAATCACTTACCAGATTATCAAAAAATAGAGATTATGATGTTCATTATGAGCAAAGTTCCTTTCCCTGCTCTTGATCATTTGCGATTCAATGGTGCAGGAGATGTTTTACTTCAGAGCATTTTACTCAAGTCACTTTTGAAGGTAAGCAAAGTTTTTAATTCCCTCTTATGAGGAAACAAGGTTTCAATGAATTAAAACAAGGGCATTGGCTTCATGATCTGAAGGACCCAGGTTTAAATCCCAACGTAGGTTGGGATTTTTATCTGGTGATTCCATTCAGGACGGCTCTGAGGTCGACTCAGCCTCCTTTCCAAGTGAGTACCAATCAGGATCTTTCAAGTCATGAAGGCAGCTGAAGTGTTGTGCTCAACCATACATCCTCCTCCTTGTGCCAACAGCAATGAATAGGTGGAGCCTCCCCTGTGGGCCACAGCTCAGCCTGTGTGCAATTGCACAGGAATACCTTTACCTTTATATAATTTATTGTAAATTTTACAAAGAGTGATCAAAAATTTTAAGTCAATAAAGAAAAGAATTAAAAGTTATGACATTGAAAGTATTTATTAATAAACAATGAACTACAATAGCTTTTATGAATTATTTAATTGTTTGTGAAGGATCACCAATTTTGGTGCTTTTTCTGTACCAAGGCAATGTCTAATTTTTTATTGGACCAGTCCAAATACAGGAAATATTCCTTTCATACTAGGTGAAGATGCTGATGCTAATGAATTTTGTTTCACAGTTTTCATTTCTTTTTCTGTAAAAATGTTTTTCATCAGTTAAACACTTTTCTACACAAACATAATTATTGTTATGTATTATATATTCAAAAGCTTCTTGTTTTTTCCCTGTTTTTTGTTGTTTTAAGGCATATGTATGTATAAGAGACTATTTCAATCTTTTTTTCAAATATGTAAATGTTTTGGAAAATTTAAATATTCAATTTAAGATCGGATTTAATCTTGTTTTTTGTGAACCGGATTTAATCTTGTTTTTTGTGAACCCTGTTAAGAAGGGTTGCTGTGACTACTGGGTACTACCGACCTTCAGAATTGTGAGTGAATGATAAAAAAAATGTAAACATTTTCCCCAGAAATATTGAATTGTTATTTCATTAATCTTAATTGAATAATCTTTTAAGCTGCTGTAAGTAAGAATAAGTTTTAAGCAAAGTGAAGTGAAGATTGTTTTTTCAGCAAATGATCTTGGTTGTTAGGTGATGCCACATCACAGCCTTCTAAAACCTTAATGGCCAATAGTCTTTTCCAGACTCTGGCTATGGAAGCCATATATGTCAGTGCGTTTCTGGTACAAGATATTTTTGTTGTATCACTGAAGGTTGCATGCATAAGGAAAATTGTATTATATTAAAATATGTGGACTTTTTAATGTGTGCCAAGAATTTTGTGAACTTACTTTTGGATATCAAAATGGACTATTTCCGAAAAAATACATTAGCATTTGAGCATTAACTATTCTGATGTATTGAGATAGGATCCCTTTATTGTGTTCATTGAATATTTTAGTTTGGAACTGTGTTTTTTATGTGTGAATCACATAAATGTATATTACAGGTTGGCACAACGTATCAAACAAGTCATTTCAATAAAACCTTCCCAATGTCATTTTTGGAACCACTTTTGAGAATGTCTGTTGCTGCAGACCCAGATATGCGATTACTGGTTCAAAAAATTCTACATACACTTATTGATCGTCACAATAACTTGGAAAAACTTCTAAAGCCTTCGTAAGTTCTTAATTAAGACATGATAACAGAAAAATTGTAATACAGAACATGATACATTGTTTTCTTTCCATAGAGTTAATATACCAGAACTAGAACTTGTACTTGAAAAGAGTTCACGACCTGATATCATTTTCATCCGGAAGCATGGACCTGATATTTACCTGAGTCTTTATGAGAGTTTGGAACAAGCAAATAACACTGTTGAGAATATTGAAGCAGTATACACCACACTAGCATTGTTATGTGTAGAACTAGCATCTGAAGAAACTGTTACAGATTTACTGCGTCTTGTTATAAGCATGCAGGTAGGCAATTTTTACAAACAGAGCTGGTACTAATTCCAGAATCTAATATTACTTGTGATAAAATTAGCAGCTTTTCAAATTTTTTGTTTCGTTTCTAGAAATGTTTTTGCACTTTTCAAAAACTGTTGTTTTTGAATTTTGTGATGAAATATTATGACATAATGACCTTATTTACTTCCCATCTGAGTTTGAGGTCATTTTATTTGAAAATCATTTTCAGGATATGGCTCTTACAAATGGCTCTTTATCTTCTGCTCAAAAGTTTAATCTTCATGCAGTGGTGGCCAGTCTTCTGATTTTAATTCCTAATGTAGTTCCAATATCTGCACTTCTGGAATATGCTGAAAAGGTTAGTCAATTTTTTGCAAGTAAGATTTAACTAGAAGTTATCAGTTAAGTAATTTAGAGGCAACAAACAATTTATATTTCTTAAATAGGATAAATTTGAGGGAGACATCAAAGAAAGATTAGTAGAATTTTAGTTGTAGCTACAATTTTTACTTTCCCACCTTTATAATTGTAATACACCCCAAAACAGCAAATTTTCGACAGAAAAACCCAGTGTCAGACCCTGGTAAAAGAACAGTGGATAAATCCTGTTTCCAAGTACAATAAACTACTTCCTCTAAGATGTGGTGTAGTCAGAATACAAGTTTTGTGGCTCCTTGATACCAAAAAATCGATTGAATGCATAACGTCTGTCTGCCTGTGGTCAAGGCTAGCACCCAAACTGTTCTGCGAATTTTCTTCACAATTCATATTCCCAAATAATCTGAACGGCTTTGTGACTATTAAATGGATATTTTGATTTTTGAGGGTACTTTAGGCTAAGCCTGAAAAACATTTTCAAAATTTTCTCAATAATGACTCCAAATTTTTCAAGTAAACGTTGCCCTCCAATACTTTAAAAAACTCATCAGAAAATCATACAGGTTTCATGTTCAATAAAATCCCTAATTTTTCGAAAATTGCAAATGTGCAACTTTTGGAAGGGGGTCTTCCTACAATATTCAATATAGATTGAGGAAAAAATGTCTGTACTTTCAAGATGGACCTTGAAATAAGGACATGTTCAATTTTTTGAAGGTGAGTAGTTTTCATGCAATTAGTCCAGTAAGTGTGAACATGTTGTATCTCAGGACGAGGTAATGTTCCTGCCATGATACACTGTGTGATTAGTACCAACATACTCATTGGTTTGCAGGGGTTTCCCATTTGTGTATATATATCCACCAGTAGGACACTACCCCATATGGGACAAAATTAAGCTCCCAACATGTATCCAAACAAGGTGTGTTTGGATAGTTTGTGGCCCAAGAATAGTGTCAAGGGTAGTGGTGGAGGCTCAATGGTGGCAGATTTTTTACACAGTTTTTTACACCACTCTAGAAAATACAGCTGTTTAGAGGAAAATTCTTGCAACTAGCTGAACAGTAGTTATCCATGGTTTCTCTGATCAGTACTAGGCTAATGATGGAACAGTTCTCCAACAAATGAGTCAGCCTGTGCAACTTTCTTCCTACCTCATCCTTTTTCCTATTTACGCATGCATGTGTGCACAAATGCACACATTGGGAGACCAGTTGGGAACTTTATACCACATGGCCAAGAGCCCTACTGGGAG